GTTTCATGAATCAAAATCGCACTAAAAATATCTGGGAGTAGTGGGGACTAAATTTAAAGATTTTTATGTCTGATGTTTCCACATTTCGAACAAATATTTACGATTACGATGCACGTTGAGAAATCACCACAATATGTATTGCCATCCCGCTCGTTATGGCATTCATTCATGAGTTAAGAAAATAATATTTGACGTGTTTGAATTACACTCTGGGGGACTACTATTCAAACCATTGACGCTGACAAGAGTTCACTGAAAATAAACAAAACAACAGACCCCCTTCGAAAATCTGCCACTTAAGAGCACATCGAGAATATTCCCTGGATCTACCTCTAGAACACGAACTAAATAAATGAAATATGTAAAATCCCCACCACGTTGTTCAGTTATGATGAGTTACCGTTGCAAAATACTAGATACAAAACCTCTCGTAAAGGCCAAAATTTAATACACAAATTACACAAACCTAAATAATGAACAGCGGAAGCAATTGATATAACAGCTAATTAGTTTATTTCATACAATTATTTCAACAACATGAAACATCATCAAGTAACTAAAATATAAGTTATATCAAATATTTATTTTTAATTATCCCTAAAGTCTTCAAATAAATCACGTTAACGTACTTAAATGCATAGATCACCTTGGCTTTCTGAAATATGTATAACGATTTATTACAGAGTAACAAGTTACATTTTCCCTGAAAACAACAGGGTGAAGCCCAGGACGGAAACCTTTTCATGGAAGAAAATTCAGTGGCTAAGGAAACTATTTTCGAAAGAGTTTATCCTATTCATTTTTATAATGAATATCCCTCTGTAGATCGAATACCAGCAAGAGGATTTATTGATAAGACAGGAATTTACTCTGAAAAGAACTGCCTTTCTGGGTCGTAAAAAATCATATTCCAATTCATTTGCAAGTAGTAGCCCGTGCTCCGCAGCCGTCTATCTTGTGGGCTGGCAGGACTGATGCAAGTTGGGTAGGGTGACTGGCGACGGACGCTGAACGGAAGGAGGTGGGTGGGAAGCAAGAGGAAAAACACTGGCGCATTCTAAAAAGTCTGCAGAGAAGCACATTGTTTTGCACTAAAGCACCGCTACCTACAACGACACACGGACTGACCACTAAGTGGCAGCAAATGCATTTAGAAGCGCTAACATACATCGTATTTATTATCTGGCATTTCATGCTATGCGATTCATCATTTATTTTCAATGAATCCAGGGTATCAAAACACTGCAAGGCCGAAATGTATTCAGCGAGTCACGTATTTATTTAAATATTTAGAGCCATATAAAAAACCCTTGTATATTCCGACAAACTTAAAAGTCATTCGAAATATCGTTCGATGAAATTTATCTTTATCCAAGGAGCGCACGGCAAGACATTCCAAGGTACGCATGAATAATTACAACAAAACATACTTTCTACGAGTGCCACGTATAATATTGTTAACGTCTTTAAAAGTAGTTACCAATATTAGAATAACTTTTATATCATATTAATTCTTCTTGATCGACGTTTGGAGCGTCACAAGAGAAAGAGTAAGCCTTTCAATAGTGAATGTATAGATTCTTCATCAAATAAACAATTTATTAATTTGTTTAAAAAATTTGTTGCCTGATTTGAAGGTAGTGTTGGAATTTTCTGGTTTAATTCACTCCACACACCACCACTCAGAAAAATATGAACAAAAATATTTCGATGATCGTCTGTTGTATACAAATAGTCCTAATACACATTAGAATCTGTAAAGTAAACTATCATGCGACCACATGGAATTTATAAACGAGATTTTCTTTATATTTTCCAAACAATCGCACATTGGCCAGGTCGACGACTCAACAGTCTACCCAGCAAACTTAAACCAGAAATATTTTCCTACTACGTTTATGTTTGAAAGTAAACTTAAGATTTTTGGATTCTATTTGGAAATTTTTACACGAATTATATTAATTTATATTTATGAAATATCAACAAGACAAAAACAAATTTTTACATCTGTAGGAAAATAATGATTAACTTCATAAAGTTTGATATCACGCATAAATTGTCACCTATTACTGTTCGAACGTGCACTTATGTTTTATTATATTACTAATTGCTGATCCATACAAGCTTCATCTAGCCTAAACGAAAAAGTGTGAATGTGTGAACGTGGCGTGTTAGGGAGTGATTATGCACTCAAGAGGTCGAATCGGAGAATACCCACTTCCTCTATACCGCTCCCTCACCGCAAAGTTGCATGATACAACCGCATGGCCGTCGCCGCGAATCTCAACGACGAAATAATACGTTTCTTACATTAACTACGATGTAAACGTAACAAACCTAATTTTCATTTACTCCATTACGTACCATTTGCTAACATTGTCGGATCTTGTGATAATACGTGTTATCTTTTACTTGGCGGCAATTGGATGTGAAGACAAAATCGCTAGTGACTACTGTCAAGAAATTCAGTAGATTATATCTTCTGATCCGATAACTTGTTTGATAAAACGAACCACTCAATTTCAAAAAAAAAAGAATTTCTGCAATATTGCCAAGTGCGTTGTAATGCATTTGTCAGTTTACTATCATTAAGATCCTTGAACCAAGGAATGAATGAACCATATTTTATTGTACTACGAATTGGGAATTGACAATACAGCGTTTGATGAGGATTTCAGTATACTTGGATTTTTATTTCTTGGCGCGGGAGGCCTGTCTTCACGATGGAATATCTCATGGCGTTTCGCGACGTTCGCTAGATATGATTGCGACCATATCGAGCAGTGTTGGCGATCATGCGACATCTAGCGGGACGACTGAGAAAGACGGGAAATGCCCTGAAATATTCCATCGTGAAGACAGGCCCTCACGCGCCAAGAAATAAAAACCCGAGTATTGTAAATGAAATCACCCAGCCAAAGTTAAATGAGCTAATAAAACAAAATAAATTAGTACGAAACCTTATAAAATTACCATATAAAAAGTTCATTTTTAAACATATAGAATTAAATAATCACTAAACACACCGCTGTCCTTCATTGCTCTGCATTAATGTCAAAAAGTTATTTACAGGCGCGATGGCCGATTTCTTCCTTTCTTCCTTAATCCTATCTTCAGCATTATCCACTTCGTTATGTTCACGAGATAAAACTATAATGCATGACACCCCCCCTTTCAACGAACCAAGCGAATATCTCTCAACAAATATTTATCATTAACTGTGTTCCTAACATTGCCAATAAATATACGGTTGTAACCGCATTCTTCGCAAGTCATCTTTAGCAACAATCATAGGGATGATAGCGTTCTTCCAACCCCATTATGGGCACTCCTTCAGGATGCGAGTGGAAAAATTATCTTTTGTTGGAACTATCGGTGGGAAATGGAGAGCGGTGAAGTTGTTGAAATTTTTATATAAACATTAGAGATTACGACCCAGTTTATTTACCCTAGCTACACAGGAAATCAATGATCCATCCAAATAAATTTAAGAGCGCTCTGGACACAATTTTCGAACTTCCCTTTCTCGCAGGCATGTCACTGATCCGTTAATACGCTACTACCGCCGCTAAATAACAGCAAGTAGAGTATTATCGACGCGAACGGTACTCGCATATAATCTCAACGGTTCAATATTACGTAAATTAGATACTACGACTGAAAGCAGTGACGCGTCGCCAGCGGTGTCTAGCGTGTACGCGCTCAGGTCTCATTAGTGCCATGCATTGCGGCCTAGTTTCACCGCCATGGTTTCGCGAGCAGCGAACCCCGCCGCCTTGCATTAGCTACGAGGGGATTGCAACGCACGCTAGTGAGCGGGTGGGCGGGGCAGGAAGATGGGGGATGCTCGGAGAAAGGACGCCAGCGGGTTCAGAGCGACGCCGGCTCCGGCGAAAAAAAATAGGGCGGCGGGATTCGGGAGAGTGAGGGCAGTCGGTGAGGCCTGAGGACGAGGGTGTCCTTGAGAGCAAATTGGTTCAACGTCACCTACATCCCGGGTCTTGGAAGGCGGCCAGACACGCTATTAGTACCCAATATTTAAAATTGGGGGATTTGCTACGATATCTCAAGAGAAAGACACTAAAATCTGGCGAGAAATGTACGCGGTTGGCAGTTATCAATAATTCACAATCGAGAGCAAGGTTCTCCGTGATTTTTTTTCTGGCAGATCCTTAAAATCCTCACACACATTTGATGTTTTTTAGATTTGTTGTCGCGGATTGCACGTCATTTATTTTGGTTTTATTAAAAAAAACGTCAACAATGGACAAACGTACGAACGAGACACCAATTCATATAAATGGTTTAGTTGGCATTCGTCTCGAGAAAGCAATTAATTACGTGCAAAACAAAGCCAAAGTACAGACTGAAAATCGGAAGCACATTTCATTTGAGATTTTTGTTTAACATGTAGATGTTTGTACGCATGTGTAAAACTAGAATAGTTAATAAGTTTCATAAACCACTATTAACAAGACTTGCAGTTTCAAGATACGAAACGTATAACGCGCGAAACATATAACATTGAACCATAAGAAAAGAAAAGCTCATTACCGTTTCGATGATCAATCGTGATAAAATATATAAAATACAATAACCGACTACAGCTTAGAATGACGTTTCATCACGAAAATGTAAAATATAAAGACATTTAGTAATTTATAATTGCTACACGAAATTCAGTAAACCACAATTTTGAGGGGTACTCTTACGACATGCGTTTCCCGGCACGAAAATTCGCTAAATGTATTTATATGCGAAATTTTAAAAAAATACTCTGCGAGTTGTTTTCGCTCTAGAATGGCTTTCCACGTTTTTTTTACCAGGTACCACATAAAACATGCCCGCTTTTGTATTTAGCATTTCATATCACACTGGCGTCTTTGGGGGCTAAACGGACCACAGCACAATTCCCCTGGAGGGACGCCGGCACTTCCCACGGCTCGCCGCCCCGGAGGACAGTCCGGCCAGCGGGTACGCAACGCAGCCTCGGTACTCACTCAGTCTCGTTGTTCTCGAAGAGCAGCTCCCCCGACGCGCCCTCGAACTCCTTGCCGGCCTTGGCGGTGCCGTCCTCCGTGTTGAACGGGATGGCGACGCGCCCACGCGCGCCGCTGTACCGCACCACCTTCAGCTCGTACTGGCCCACCGACTCCACCAGCTCCACGTCCTTCTCGGCGAAGGCGAACACGCCGCAGTGGTCGTCGTCCAGGATCATGACGGTGGCCACGCTCGGCGACACCAGCTGCGGCGGCGGCGGCTGCGGCAGCGGCACCGTCGTCGACAGCCGCTTGGTGGAGAGGCGGCGCGGCTGGGCGGCGGCCACCGGCGGCGGCGGCGCCGCCTCCCCGTTCGACGCCCCCGCGCGCAGGTTGCTCAGCCGCACGTAGAAGTGCTCGTCCTCCTCGAAGACGTCGTCGTCGATCACGCTCAGGGCGAACGTACGCTCCGTCACGCCCGGCCCGAACACCAGCGTGCCGCGCGCCGCCACGTAGTCGTCGCCCGCGTTGGCCGTGCCGTCCTCCGTCGTGTAGTCCACCATCAGCGTCGCGTTCAGGTCGCCGCCCTCGCGCACCACGCGCACCTCGAACTGGCCCACGTTCTCCATCACGGTGTAGTGGCCCGGGTCAAAGAACACGCGCGCGCCGGCCTCTTCCTGGCGCTGGATCTCGGCCTTCACCTCGCTCAGGTCGCTCTGCGCGCGCTCCTGGATCTTCTTCATGATGTTGCCGCCGCCCACCATCTTGCGGGTGGCCTGGATGCGGTAGAAGGCGCGGCTCTTCGGCCCACGGTTCAGCACCTCCTCCTGCGCCATCACCTCCAGCTGCTCCAGGTCCATGGCCGGGTGCTTCTTGCGGAGCTCGCGCAGCGTGGCGATGTACTCTCGCCGGTTGTGCTCGAACTCGCGCACTTCCTCGCTCTGTGCCTGGTCCTCCAGGGTCTGCAGGCCGCCGTCCACGTGGTTCGCCTTGGACGCCATCTCCATGTCGCCCTCCGTCTCCACGATGACGCCGCGCCGGTTCATGCGGTAGTTCTTGTGCAGGTACTTGTAGATCAACAGCCGCCGGTCGGCGATGTAGGCCGTGAGCACGGTGGCCGGGAAGAACAAGAACGTGAGGATGCCCTCCCACACTTCCACCACGCCGTACGAGAACACAGACAAGATGAGGTAGAGCCACACGTAGGCGAACACGGACCACGTGGCCGTCACGAAGAAGACGCGCAGATGTTTGATTTTGCGCACTTCGCCGTCCGGGATGACAAACACACAGATTGCGATGATGACGAACAGGTTGTAAGCCGCAGAACCCACGATCGTGCCGGGACCCAGATCACCCGCTTCGAAGTTCTTCGCGTAGATCTCGATGATGGACAGCAGGATCTCGGGCGCCGAAGACCCCAAGGCCATGAGGGTGAGGTTGGCAACGGTCTCGTTCCACACTCGCACCACCAAGATCTGCGTCTCGCCGTTCTTTTTCCTCACCGTGATCTCCTTCTCTTGCGACGTGATCACCTCGATGGCCGCCATGAAGCGGTCCGAGACGATGCTGACGCCGATGAACAGATACAGCATGGCGAGGAAGTAGA